GAATAGAATAGTGTAAATAGATATGCCTTTATGATAATAGGGAATTAAAAATTATTTAAAATACTACTTTGTGCTTATTAGATTTCTTTGACTTTATTATTTTTTTAAATGCAAAAACAAAAATTCACAAATAGCATGCCGATTAATTACGAACATACTTGCAAAATACGATTTCATAAAACACGTAGAATATTAAAGTTATATTACCTGAAATTACGTTACATAAATCAGTTTACTAACCAGTGTATCAAATTTGTTATTAATTGTTGTAAATTAATTAGCGTGCAAATATTGTCCTCACCGTCCATTTATCGATGGATATAAAACAGAACTTCCTGTTTTACCCCTTAAATATTCGAAAACGAAAGCCATACATTTTAAATATAAAGTCATTTTTTATTCTGTTATGACAAACACGAAAAGCTAAAAATATTCCAATTTGCTCTACAATGTATTAAAAATCAACCTAATTTCATAAGTCGCCAAAAGAAGCGATTTTGCGCCAAATCAGATATTGCTCTAATCTAGGTTAATAAGCGGAGGGAAAAGTTACGCGAAAGTTCGGGCGGGATGCTTGAAAAGGGTGAAGAGGGGAAGGAACAAAAGAGGGGTAGCGATGATTCTACCGGGTAGGGGGGTGGAAGAGAATCTCCCACACCACACGGGGCGGCAAATCAACAAACCAATGGTGTGTCAGTTCCACACCTTTGGCCCTCGGGGCTCGTTAAATGGCGCCTAGATTAGGAGAAGCCAAATGTGCTTTATTGGTGGAAAAGTAAATCTACTTCATTACGGTATACGCGCAATTGAGATGAGATACTGAGATCGTTTATGGCTAAGTGACGGTTAAGCCCACTGAGCATTGTTTGCGCCAAATTTTTTTCAGAAGTCGTCCAGCTTCTTTGATTTTATTTGTTTTAAAAACTATCTTTTTAATTTATAATTTTCAGATTCTGGTTATGTATATTTTTTTCCCGTCAGCTGTTAATATATTTTACATTATTTCATAATTTTAAAACTTTGAGTGCATCCAGTGAGATTTCAGTTCATACCGAAACATGTTTAAAATGTGCTAATGCTAATAGAATAATCGCCTAAAGCGCGTGTTGTGAAGGAGAAAAAATTGTTTTGCTGCGATCGATATTAATGTAATCTGTTTCTTTTATTTGATTATGAGCTTAAGAACTTTCGATCAAGGTTGTTGTGAAAGGAATTGCTTAGACTTTAATTTTTGTGCTTCTCCTGCTGAAGAAGATCGGAAATTGGAAATCAATGGTAGTATCTTCAAAATGGCCAATAGGAGCGTCACCAAAGATTCAGGATCTGCAGTCAGCTACTCTCTTAACACGTCCAGTTATTTTGTATCATCAGAGACCGGCAATAATTGGTCAATTATTCAGTCGAATGGAGGAGACATTTGTGCTTCTTCCTACCCTTCGAGTCCAACAGAGTCAGCAGTTTGTGCAAGATCAATTAACTCCAATGACTACATCATGAACGATTTTGATTTATCTTTATATGAAGACGCGCAAAATATGATGAACGTTGCGAATTTTTGGCCGAGAAGTGATTTTAATACTATCACACCAAATAGCAGGATCACGCCCCCTCCTCCGTACAGACCACGTGAATGGAATTCTGAAGAAAATTTTAGAAAGGACAATAATTTCAGTATTCTGGAGGATCAGATTCTCTTTCAAGAGAGGAAGACGCCGCCTCCTCCTTACAAAACCACCCATTCAGTGCAAAATTTTCATAAAATTAAGAACCACACGAATATGAACCTGAAAATCGATCTGCTGGCGACAGGAAGAGACAATTACCTCAGCGGTAATTTTGGAGCCGCCAAAGATTTCGCGAATCCTATCTACTCCGAAGCGGGGTCATTAGAGGGACTATTACCCAATGTTGCCGACCCGGGTTCTCCAATCTCGCGGTCCGGCGACCTGACACCCCCTATTCCAGTAACCGCAGAACGGCGGGAACTCACTGCGGTTTTCCCAACGGTTGCCTCCGAGCCCGCTCTGTGGGAAATCTCCATGCCGACTCCGCCGACCGACGACGAGGCCATCGCCGCAGAGGGCCATGGGCCTTTCCCGGCCACAGCCTGCAAAGACGACAACCTCTTTTCCCCGCTAAAGAGGCGGCTGGAAGAGGAAGATGAAGAAGAAACGAAATCTGAAGTTTTCGTGCCCGCAGGTAGGTGAATAAAGTTTAAAATATTTGAGAAATGATCCTGATATTTCTGAAAGGTCATGATGATGTTTAATCATGTTCTGCATAATTTGGCTGTTAATTATTAAAAAGCTGATACTGAATCTTAAAAATTAGAAACGGCGTTGACAAAATCTGTTTAGAGAGTAGGAATTTCTTTCGTTTCCATTTATATCATTTGGTACTTTATACGAAAAGTGATTATTTTGGGAATTTACTTAAGCCAGCATTTCCAGTTTCTCTGTAACCGAGAATGTCTTAAAAAAAAAAAAAAAAAAAGCAGTGTTTTTCTTTATACATTCTATCATTTCCCCTTTCAGGTGATAATAATGGGCGTGATAAAACATCTTATTTACATTTATTTCATAAAAATGAAACCTGTCAACCTGAAACCTTAATGAAATTTTTATGTTTTGAACTGCAACCAGAACTGCAGATTGATTTTTAATGAAGATCAGATATATGTAGATGTGCTGTATCTCAATCATTTCATCGTACAACTTGGGTATAAAATCTCTAATATAAAGATTAAAAAAAAAATTCCTGCTTTAAGTGAGAAATGTAATAAACCTGCTTTAAATTTCATTTTCGAATTTCACGCCTAAACTTTTATGTTCTTCGATTTCTTGATTTATCCTTGTAACTATTTTTTATCATTTTGTGCTAAAGAATCAATTGATTATATATGATATTCTAAATATAGTAGCTATTTTTTATTCTGCAAATCAAAAACTAGCTGGTAAAATAGCAGAATTCTCGAATCATTGCCAAAAACATGCATTTTTACTTTATCTTCCAAATGGCCATATTATATTACTCACCAGTGCAAAAAAAAAAGAAAGTATGTTTCTTAATATTATTTTGACATTTCTCTATGACAGTAAGTTTGTTGAAAAAAAATACCCCTTTTAAAGTAAGATAAAATTTAACTTTAGACTAAATTTTGAAAAAAATGTCAGTCAGTCTAATGTTTCGGAGTTTTTTTCTCCTTCTCAATAAAACTAATGTAAACATAAAATTGAAATTCGGCTAGTTTTATTCGGCTAGCTTAGCTTGAAACTGATATGTTTTTGTTCCATGTAAAACATCAAAGTTTGAACAGTGGTTTAGAGGTTTCATTTGCGTTTTTAATTAGTAGAATCGTAAAAATATATGCATTTCAAATTGCCTTATTATAAAAGCCTTATTATATATAACACTGTCATTAAAATCTGTGCAAAATTTGATTGTGTGGATAACTTCAGCATTCTTCATGAATCCAAAAAGAAATAAATTTCAAAATGTTCACACATTTTTTCTTTCATATCAAATTCTAATGATTGATAGAATTGTAATGATGATAGATAAGAATAAATAACGGGGCTAACTCCCACAATAAGTTGTGTTATACATATCATTCAATCTTTGATCGTTTATGAATCACAGTTTACGTTCAGAATCAGTAACTTGACCAAGTGTTTTCTCGAAGTATATGCATTTTAAAGTGTTTAAGTAGCTATTTATTAGTAGTTAAGCTATTTAAAGTGTTATACTTCTTGTAGAACACGCTTCTACTAAACTCGTGTGCGTGAGGCCACACACGTTTGTTGCTTCTTAAAGAAAACTCTTAAAAAAAAGAATTCTGAAAAGTTTCAGATTTTCAATTACCTCCTTAACGTTTTGTGTGTTACCTTTATTTATTAAATAACATGTTCTACGTACTCAAGCCATAAAATGCAGTTCAACGGCAATATCGTAAAATAATTTTAAAATGAGTATATATTTAGAATTTCGGATACAGAGTCTCACGCGCTGGATATAATTTTTTTTCCCGTACAGTGTTGCCATTGCTCGCTTTGAAATCATTTAGTTTGTTAATCAATTCGTTGAAGTGTTACAATATGAAATCTATAATAAAAAAATTCAAATTAGACTTCCACATGCCCTAATTTATGGAAGACGTAGTACAAATTTCGATGGTTCTAGTATCGTTGTTTAATCACAGGCGAGAAGCATACTACATTTCGATTCTTCATTATTTATTTCTTAAGTATACTACAGGCTCTAAATTTGGTGCAACAATCTGAAAAGGTTCGCCGTTTATAGTTTTTCAACGAAAATGACAAAACGAAATTATAGTTCTTCTAGGCAAATTGCTCTTTGTTTAAAAAAAAAAATTAGAAGATAAAATTATTGAAAAGAACATCTAAAAGTTTTCAGATTTTATATACGCCCAAGGGAGGTTGTTTTTTTTTTTTTTTTTTTTTTTTTTTTTTTTACGTTGGTGTGTTACTTTTATTTATTAAATATTCATTTATTCCACTTAAAACCTATAAATCAATTCAACTGCATATACAAAATATTTGAAACACATAACTTTAGAATTTCCGATTCACAGTCTGGCTCGCGGAAATAAAAAAGGTTTTTCCGTACAGGTTGCCATTGCTCCGTGAAACTGGTTAGTTTAATCAAAAATTGTTAAAGTTTAGGAATACTGCAGGGATGAAGTTAACGTGTCCAAAAATCAAAGAAACATAAACTTACATTCTGAAAAAAACTTTTTTAGAAAAAATCCGTTGAAAAGGTGTTTTAAGGCTCCCATTGTAAATAAATTCGTATTGATTGATTTATTGACCGAAATTTTATTTAAGTCGTAAATAGCTAAGTGCCTACTTTCACGACGATGTGAAAATGAGTGTGTAGATAAATCTCCTTTCCTATACCCATTATGTCTCAAAATGACGCGATTCCACAAAACATAAAATAAAAAAATTCGAATGCGAATTTCGAAAAACGCTTCGAGTGCCTGCTCTTGTCTAATGCCCTATGTCCAAATTTCGTAGCCGTGAGCAAATTTCGTAGCTTACGCGCAGCGCGAACGAAAAGCACACACACACACAGACAGACTCTTTCTTTTATTATATGTAGAGAAGAGATAAAAACAGCAAATCTTTAGTTCCGATAAACAGGAATCAATGAGGAATTGACTTTAACGTGTGAAAAAACTATATTAACATCAAGTGTCATCCACTACAGGTTTAAAAAAATATATTTGAACTTGAGTGGATCAATAAAAAGCATTTTATTAACGATTGAAAATTCGAACAAGACATAGGGAGAGTGTGAGATAATAGTAGGAATTTAATAAAAAAAAAAGGAGGGAAGAAGTTAAACCAATTTTATTTGCTAGTTTGTAATTCAAAAAGGCAGATATCTTTACAAATCATGCTTACGTAAGAGAAAAAATAATAATCGATTTGCATTTATCACTTTATGTGTGGTAAATAAAGTCTTGAATATTTTTTACCTAGAGGAATTTTGCCTTAGGGACTGTTTGCAAAGAATTAGGCCGATTTTCATTAAATATGCCAATTTATAACACCTTCCAGATATTAAGTTCAAATTTGAATGCAGATGTGATACACTTTACTGCGCCCTGCATCAATTGAAAACTCAATTTTAATCTTTAGCGCACAGCATCGATACCAGTTTTACTTCATTTCGTTTAGATGTATTATATATATAACTGGAATCATAGCTGATAAGTGAGTGAGTGCACCGCTATGATGGCTTCCGACCACGGACATGAACCAAACGGAATTATATACCATCACGGCGGGGAAGACTCCAGAGACAGTTGAATATTATATACTAATAACAGTTTTTTACATATGTTAACTGCAAGGCACTAAGCGTTATTCTGGTTATCTGCTTTAAGTTCTTAACTTTGAAACATGATAATATTATCCACGGTTTTTCTGCTTGGCAGTGTCCTGGATTTCTCTATTTTCATCAAGGGCTATTCTGTTTTTGAGTGTGTTAGTCGTCCACATGCCCATTCACAGTCCGCTGTTTCTGTCTTCAAGTGCCAGGTTCTTGTATGTACACAATGGCAGTATAATGTCCATGTCGCCTTCCTCTCCGCTTCGCAGAAATGAGTATCCCTAAGTCTAATCTGTTCAGGTATACTGGAATGGTCCTGACCTGTCAGAACTGTGTTAGGCTAGCACAGTGGTCCTTATTTCCATGTCAACTTTTGGCAGTAGCGAATGTCCTTCGTCCTACTCTCCTCTGGTCCATCTACTTTGCCATTTAATAGCAGACAATTTGTTCTCTTAATATGAGACCAAGGAAGTTTAGTTGTCTTTCTAATATATACAGGCAGTTGCTGCCTGCTTGGCCAGGCGTTTGAATACTGATTTACTTTCCTAATTTATTACATGGAATTATTTATATATTAAAATTTAATTTATGTGTACCGTGCGCCTGCAATGTTCAACACTGTGTATCGGAAATTCTAAAGATATGTTCATTTTAAAATTATTTTGCGATTTTCTTGTAAATTGAATTTTATGGTTTAAGTGCGAAGAACATGATATTTAATAAATAAAGGTAACAAAATATTAAAAAAAAAGCCCTTTTGGACGTAATTTAAAATATGAAACCTTTCAGATCTTTTATGTTTCTTCCCCCCCTTTCCTTTGGCCTTTCTACAGCCTTTCTTGATATTTACTATTCTTTCATAATAATATTAGAAAAACGATGAAATGAATGCAATAAATTTTTATAGTTTTAGTTTGTTAAAGGTAAATTCAGCTTTAAAATAAACTGTATTGCATAAGTATAACCATGTTCTTGCACAGCGATCTTATATCAGATAAAAGAAACGCGGCTACGAATGTAGCATTGAAAAATAGTTTTCATTACTGAAATAGTACATTCTTCTTCGTTTCATATTAAATTGAGTTTCTGGAAGCAGAAGCCAAAAAAGACTGGATTAAAATTGAATGACTGAGTCATTTGAAAAGTATTACGAGAATTTTATTGAGAATACTAATTTTCGGAGGAGAGGGCTTGAATTTAAAGTTCGATTTATTTTCAAGTTGTAAAACCGATCTGCATATAAAAAGTAAGAGCATAAATTCAACTTTAAAATTTCTAGAAAATTATTTGAAAAAAAAAAATGACTAAAATAATATTTCCAATGGGACAGGATCCTAAATTAA